GGTGTTTACTTTAGCACATATTATGTTACAGAAATGTTAATTAGCATAAAATAGTTGTTTTTTATGGGCAGTTAGTTGGAAAGATACTGGGTTTTCGCTGATTTATTTCTATAAAATATTAAATGCGGACAGCCAACATTGCCATTATTTTAACGAGGGAGTACAATTTGAACTGAAAAACAATACGTTTTTTATCGTACTATTTAATATAGTTATAAAAGAAGCTAAAAGGTTGACCAACACGTTAAAATGGACAGTTCTAAAAGTTCTGTTGCTTTTACCAACAGTAAAAGCAAGTTCTTGCCAAATAAAGCTAAATGAATTGACACACATCCTAGAGACATTACTGTGAATACAATGAAGCATTTGAAGAAGAAAAAATAACGGGAAAATACTTTGATGTCATCAATGATTAGTTACTTTTGTTCCCATATTCTTTGTGCATCCATCACTTTTAAAAGTATTTTCATAGACACTTCCTCCTCCATGCAGGCCTATAGTCTCAGAGTCCGAATTAATAGGCACATAACCAGTGACTTTCAACCCTTTGAAAATGTAGGATGTAACATACACACGCGCGTCATATCTTCTGCATGCATTAAATCTCTTAAATATATTAATTTCAAACAATTATAACATCTTTGCAAGTAAAGTCACGTGACTGACACGCAGATGCAGAAATATGTGTTCACGATAACACTCAAATTTCCATTGCTTTCGAATTCGCATGGAAAACATTTCTTGTATGGACATAGCGGTATCCAAAATTCTCCAAACCTAGATCGTGTGAAATCCTCGTAAATTAATATGGCAGATATAAAAGGCAAAATACGACACCGTCTTGTTCAAAGGATAAAATGAGCCATGTCACGACAAAACCAACATAATGGGTTTGCGACTAGCATGGATCCAGACCAGCCTGCGCATCCGCACAGTCTTATCAGGATCCATGCTGTTCGCTATCAGTTTCTCTACTTGTTATAGAGTTTGTAAGCGAAACAGCATGGATCCTGATCAGACTGGTTTTGTCGTGACGCGGCTCAAATATGTTTCATTGTGATTTTACGGGGTTTTTTTTGTTGCTTGCGTCACCAAATTTTCAATGTAGAAACAATTTTCTTTAAATTTATAATTTCGAAATGAACTAATACAATTGAGTTCAATTAATTGACTTTTTTCAGCCCACTTTTGTTTGGTCAATTCAAAGTTGATAGTTGCACAATGATAGGGAAAAGAAAAAATGCCGTTTTTCAAATTTGAAATCTGCAAGCACGAAATAACTTATTTTACAAAACTTGCGCTATGAATCATTCTTTTTTCTTTTTACATGTACTTTGGTTGAAAAAATGTCTCATTTTTCCAATGTCATAATTTAGATGATTCAACATACTGACATAAATAACATGACCTTTAAGTCCATACTGACGTCTTAAGAGTGTTTGTAAAATATATTCATTAACAAATCGTGAAATAACGAAAACAAACTTTACAGATTGTAGAATTCTAAGAAATCATATAGAACCATACTTGACGTAAATAAAGTGTCACAATTGCGTACTGGATATGAATTCTAAAGGTCAGATTGCTTCACCTAAGACGAGAGTTTTCTTCTTGGCTTTTGACAGAAAGTACACTTTTATTGAAAAGAAAATTTTGCTGCTAATAAAGCAAAGCATATTCATTCTTAAGACAACATTATATTCTCACATTAGGACATTTTGTAAATATATGAAATTCTCATAAACATATTTCCATGGGAACGATATTTTAGAAAATATTTTAGTTACTCACTAACATTCTTTTCTTCCTTTCACGAAATTAGCCTTGAAGTTTATTTCGACAAACAAGTTTAAAGTTATACATTCTCAGTTGCCTACACACAATCTTTGTTATGTTTGTTTTCACATGTTTTCACAGACTCTGTAAACAATAAGAATAAAGATATCTAAGACGTTCCTGAAAGTGTTGTTTTTTTTCAAACTTCACGTTTATATCTCGTTTTTATCAAAACTAAGACGTTTTTTGCGGATTTGATATGATATAGTTGTTGTTTTTATTAAGTACAAATGGTAGTAAAATCTTTATAACGGCTGTAACAAAATTGTCGTGTAAAACAAATTAATAAATCTCGTTTGTTTGATAAAATTACATAAGAATATAAATAATGTGTAAAGAATATCTGGTTTTAAGATATTATTATTTCTTCTCATAATGTTTTTTTTCTACAGATTTGCTGGTTTGCATTTTACTGCAAATATGTCTATTACAACAATTCAGTTATCTCAGGTAAAGCTTACTAAAACATATAACTAATGCGTAAAAGTATTTCTGATTGTAAGATATAATTATTTATCCCATCACAAAAACACAAAGAATATATTTTTATAACTGTACTTATTTCTTAAGGTTTGGCGATAATTTTGTCAATGGCTGGTAATATAAGGAATATAAGGCATTTTGTAAAAAAGTTACGTGTATGTCCCGATATCTGTCACATACGTTATGATAGATTATGAAAAATTTTTATTGAAATAACTACAGTAACTATGCTACAAGACACCAATCGCATAAGCTCCGATAACGATAGCCAATTAATGTTTTTTTTCTTTGTGTGCATGAACAGAAGCTCTCTTATAACCAGTTCTTTTTCAGCAACTTAGGAAAACTCCAGCCGTGACGAAATATTTGTACGGTTTCGACTTTCTGAAAACATATAAATTATGCGGCGGCAAAAGACTTCGGTAATCGCATATTAGTGGTGGGAGGGAGTGGATTTTAAAACATTGTGTTTTACATAAAGTTTAATTATGTCCCGTCCCTTCTTTAACGCTGGGGCGAAGTTGAAACAGCCGGGAGCGGATGTATGTAGTTTATGCTTCATGAGGGTCCATTCGCCCGTAAGGGCACAAAATGCAGCTTTCGCCGTCGAGTACGGACCCCGGACATGTCACCAGTCATGCTCTTAAAAGAGTTAATAAAGAGTTAATTTTGAAGCACAAAGTGGTGATAATTTACCTCCATGCAATTTCCACGGAGTATTAGCCAAAAATATGAATGTTGAGCCAAAAGTAAGTCACTGCATGTACGGCAATCAATGAGAACCTAAATGTACAGTAACCTGAGACAAAATGAAAGGGTAGCCTTAAAAAGGCTGTTTGTGCCAACAAAAGGCCTGCCGTTCAAGCCGTCTAACCGTGCAAGGGGCTCACGCACCCTAGCACACCATCCTCGTCGACCCGAAGCCTACTTTGTAGGGCCACTCCCCTCGGCTTTAGTCAGGACTTCGGCAGCTGGTCCGCAGCACAAGTTCCGATCGTTTTTTCGCCGTCGCCAGTCTTCAAATCTTCTGCCGATGCCATGTGTCTTCTCACGACGTACACGTAAGGGGATATTATTCGTAAATATTTTATATACTTTGTCCATTTCAAAAATATCTATCAGCTTATCAATCACATGCTATCTGCGATAGCAATAATGAATTGGTGATGATAACGTGAAAAGGCATAAAAATATCTGTATATGTTGCGATTCATATCAAAATATCCGCCCCGAGGCCATTGGGCGGGATCCGAGGGATGGATATTCCGATCCGAACCGCAACATTTGTCAGATATTTTTCTTGCACATTCTGCCATATTATTTTATATTTAAAATGGAAATTAAAGTCATTTCATCCATAATATAACTACTTTTTTACACCAAAGTATCCATCGAAATTTACCTGTAACGTTCAATTTTTTAAAAAGAGTGGGACAGTCCTTTTATATTGAAGCAAGGTTTATATTTATCCTAAACATTTTCCAATATTAATTGTTAGTCAATTCAATCTTTTGATATAGTCAAATCATCTCAACTTGAAAATGAAAATATGAGCATAATGCCGCTTTAAATGCAGTCTCAGAATGTGACAGGCTTATCATTGCATTTATGTAACTGACTCAATAAAACAAAGTCTTCATTTTTGCAAAGATTCGGTCTTATATCATTGCTTCCGATTAATGTCGCCTTTTAAAAACCTCTGTTTGGTCATCACCAGTTTGGAAGTTTTCAGAACTAGCGTTAAGAGTACTTTGGAACAAATCAAGCATCCTCATTACTGTGGTACAAACATCTCAAATGCAAAATTCATTTTCTTACCTCCTTCCTTAACGTTGCCTAACATGGTTGTTATAAGGATATTTGAAAAAAAATTAAATAGGGTGACGCGTTTTTATATTATTAGTTTTATAATAAGTAATGGTACATTAGTGACAAACAAACAAAAACAACATATTCATATTAAAATGTCACATCGTGTGATTACATAAAACAATATTTATTAAAAAAATGACAGAGGGCCTCATGGGAAATTAGAATCGTCATTAATTTTGATGTTGTAACATTAGGTTAATCCGATATTCTACGTCTAGTTAATAATAATTACGCCAACCTAAATCAGATACTGTTCTAAACGTAATAAAAAGAAATAATGACCATATTAGTCTCCATTATAATAACTTACCTACAAACCTACATTAAATACCATATTCTATAATGGGCTATATATCTGTTTACCTTTGTTCTCTGAAGAACGTGAAACGAAATACGAGAAACATAATTGGAAAGTTAAAAGAACGCTCTCTTGATTATATAATAAATTCCTTAATTTCTCATCTGCCGCTATCTCGCGAGACACAGAAACAAAAGAAGCGAAACTGTATTCTCGGTTCGGTTTTATTGAACCTTTCTCTAATTCGCAAAACTGAATAATTTAAACCAATTCTTATTTACTTTATATGTATAAACCTTCTAATCTAATAAGACAAAACGCAATTTTAACGCATTAAACATATTTATTTTAATTGCATGCACTTAGGATGTCGAAAAGTATTCGATAAAGCTATCTTGATATCAGATATCACTGTTTTCTATCGCGTAAGGTAACAACCTTTCAAAGAGCATACTGATATATTGACAAACGATAAGAAAAAAATATTATTAAGCAATTAAAGATGTTAAAACTTGTTATACATTTATTGTATGAAGCAGATCTTACAATCTATTTAGAGCATACGACACAAGCTAATTCACGTCCGTTGACATACGGTGGACAAGGAAGTGAGCCGCAGTGACCTTCAACCAGATGGAAAACATGTTGATCGTCATTACTTGCACCATGATCGAGAAAGTCTGGTTCTTTATCTAAACAGACATATTCATATGCGAAATACAGGGTTGTTGAAGCACCTACAAGGTAACCGTTATATTCTAAAGTCCACCCTGGGTAGCAGTTTTTACGGGCTGGTATCATCAGAGTCGTAGACTTATCAGATCTGCATACAGCACAGGGCATGTCCTGTTGATTAATAGCATATTTGAAAAAAGGACTAGATGGTATGTCAGTCTCTGTACCATATACTGAAGCCCTCAAATTCTGTATCCCGTCTACATAGTTTAACCATGTCGGATCAGAAGGCAAACAAATATTATTTGCTCCACTTCCTTTGTGTTTGTAATGTTTTCCAGCAGTATATCCTAAAATTATAAAGCATATGAAAAGTTTGAGGCCAGACAGAGTTCAGTATATTTGTAACATGTACATTAATATACAAATGTTATCAGGATGGTTGCATTTCAATGAACAAAGCAATATATAATGTCAAAATATGTAAACAAAATTCAACGAGGAACGGCGGCATTTTCAACAAAACCATAAAACGGAGCCAAGAAACCAAGCTGGGCACAACACAAAAAACAGGACAGGGCACAAGGGCGAAGCATTGGGGTGCATCTTATTTATCAACAATTATTTCTTTGTGTGTTTGTTTGTTTGTTTGTTTTGGTTTAACAGCGTTGCACATTGCTTTTCATACCGCGAAAAAACTTAATATACAACTTGACTTGTTTTAGTTTTAGATGGAACTCACTCTAGTGTATTGACTCAATACAACGATGTGCAAGATCAAGAAGTAAATATATGACAATAAAATATTCATTGCTTGCTATAAAAATGGAACATCATCTCCTGTTAAAAGGGGAAATCTAGAACTTAAGTATATCCAATGGACCTTTCCAGTGTTTACAGATTTATGTAAATTGGCAAACTTATTGGTTCACCGACATGTGTATCGGTTAAAATGATATGTTGGTTCCCGGTAACACATGTGTTGGTTTAACTCCCATATGAGGACGATACTGAACGATAAGTTTTACAATTTCGAGTTCTTTTTTTCTCATCCGCGTAAGCTATATGCAGTCCTTTTTCGAATATTTGATTGATATAGAGAGAAATGCGAATTGACTTGTAGCTATACACCGTCAAAGTCTCTCGTTCCAATGAGCTTGCGTGACAGTTAAGTGGGTATATAGAATTATAAACTGAGGCCCGTGTATGTTGTTAGTAAAAATTTGTAATGAAAATAAATGAATAAATGAATGAATGAATGAACGAACGAATGAATGAGAAATGAATGAATGAATGAATGAATGAATGAATGAATGAATGAATGAATGAATGAATGAATGAATGAATGAATGAACGAATGAATGAATGAATGTAGAAAATATAGAAAATGTTATGTTAAAGGAACTCACTAAATGATACAACAGTATTTGGTCATGTACAAAACATAATTTGCAGTGTTCACTTCTCAACACGAGACATACAATAACAAACATCATGTAACAACACAATTGATACGATTCTGCGACATCAACGTACCGTGATAAACCATCTCTGTGGTGTTTGGACAGCTTTTCTTTCCCCATCGGATATATACAGACCCTTGATGCACTTAAAACACATAAAGAATAGCATAATAAACAAGTGACAAAAAATTGGCATAAAATGTGTTTTTCCGCCATAATAACATACGTGAAGAAAGGACACAATAGTGTCAAAAAAATTATCAAATCAATCAGATTCTGATAAAATATGCGACTGACGATCATTCCACGGTAAACCAACTCAATATTGTTGATCGAAAAGTGCATTTCTTAGAAATTTATGTTGGTTTCCTGTAAAACATATGATACTTAAACTCCCATATGAGGACGCCATTTTCAGGAAATTGAAATGTAAATTTTTCAAATTTGTAAAAAATGAAGTATAATTGTTAAAAAATAGAAATGCTTTACGACCAATATTAAGTTCCTCGAAATATTTAGAAATTCATGTTCATCTATTGCCATTTGTTACAGCAGGATCTTTCAAATAGATTGGTTTGGAAACGAGCCATGTAAACCCTTTTCATTACAATTAAAGATGTCTCGGAATAACTTGGTACAGTTTTCAATATCCACATATTTTAAGTGTTCAAGAAAATGGTGAAAATTAAATACAAAAGCAAAAGTGAAAGTTCTAACAACATGATGTTCTTTAAACTTGTGAATTACAGAAAACAATGTTTTTAAAGCAATAATATGTTTTTAAAATAACATAGATAGCAGATTATTTGCAGACAAACGGCGCCCGTTTGAAAATGCACCAAATTAAACATCAAATATTTGTAAATAACATCAGCCGAGATATTTTTTTTCGTAAAATTGGTCCGAGTCCAGACCGTACTATTTGAAAGACTCTGGTTACAGTCTTTTTGGTGGGATCATTGTAGGTGTGTCAACATCTAACATTTCGATGACATAAATGTCTGAAAAATAGGCTCAGAACACTATTATCATACAGTTTCAAATGTTAATGATGTAAAACATTCACACAAACTTGTAACTTCTCTTGACATCAGCGACAAATAAAGATAATTATGACCAAAATTCACAGTGTGGTCCATATGTGGATATGTGTTCAATATCCAAACATAAAAATACGCTATGTACGGAAAATACTGTCTTCGCTTATTGCAAAATGCATTGATAATTAACAAACATCATAAAAAAACAACCAAAACAAACACGAAAGTTAAACATGTTCAAAAATTGTCTTCTGTATTTTATTTTAAACTTACTTGAAAAGATGGTTTTTCATATACAATCAATGTTAATGTTATTTTACTTTTTTAAGTATTGGCATATGCTTTTTAGAGTTATTGACATTTAATGTAATTTGTATGCACAAATATGTTTAATTATTACACAGTTATACGAACATTATCATTATTTTGTACATAATTTGAAACCGTACAGGAAAAATACATATTATAAAGAAACTTACAATCGATGATTGGCTGTGTCGATTTCAAATACTTAATATCGGCAAGAGCATTATCAAGTTGTTGACTAACATTGGCGTATTTGGAAACAACAGCACCGAGTTGTTGAGTGACGTTGGCTAACTCACTCCGGAGTCGAATCAGCTCTGTAGCCATATCAGCTTCGGAATGGAGAAGCAAACGTTTTTCTTTCCCTGATGCGATTGTATGTGTTACAAGCAATAACAGTATCATATAATTTCTATACTTTAAAACCACCATTTTATAAAAATCTTCTATTCCGCTTTCTTATCTTCCTTATAGGATATGCCTACTGATTAAAGTAAAGTAACTTGTAATCTAGATAAGGTTTAAAACAATGAAGATACTAATGAATGACACAGTTAGGCGACAATAAACTTCAGTTCCTTCAAGTTTGCTTTAAGATATAGTGTAAGTCAAACATTTTTAGACAAAGATGACATCAAAAAGCAGTTAATTTTGACATGTAGCAATTTTGAAATTTGTTATTAAACTTATTCTTCCTGTTTGATTTGTATAATCGATGTGATAGTCTGTAATGAACTTTCAAAAAAATATAAATAAATAGATATTTGACATGTTATGATTTCTGAAAGTTTTGTATCTACTTCATCCCAAACTTGCACTTACACATGAACATGCGCACACTTTCGTCTGCGCATACTGGTAAGCGCACACAGAATTGATAGCATTTGACTTTGAGGCACTACCCACAATCAGCCAAAGACAGACTTAACAACATCTTCAATTTTGCCTTTTTGGGCGTTCTTTAAGGTTTCTATTTTTATGCAATTGAAACATTGATGGGAAATCACGAATAAGTGTCTAAAACAAATCATTGTACAAATCAATGAATTTGAAAAAGGAAGAACAATCAATAAAAGGGAAATAACGTCATGTAAAACAACCCATCGCTCCTTCATGTGTTATTTTCCATTATTGATAATGGTATCCAACGACAATTTTGTTCAATACGATTATGCTTAAGATATTCAAACACACTTTTTTAGCTGTGTCAATTCAAAGGTTTAGATATACATGCATGTACATACTGAAGTTTTATATATTCTTAATGAAAAATATTCAATATTGCATTAGCAGGATAGTTACTCTTGTATTAACAAATGTATAGGGTTTTTTCTATTCCAGTAAACAAGCAAGTTGAAATATTACCATAAAAGTAAAATGACAAAGTACCTCATTTGACATTAGCATCGTCATTTGATGTTGTCCGATATTCTATGTCTAGTTAATAATTACGCCAACAAGATGTTTTCAAGAAATCTTTAAAAACATATTTTTTTCCTGAAAATTTATAGTAACTAACTGTGCTGTATTTGTCACTGTGAATTGGTGTGCTGTGAGAGATCTGGTACACATTTGAAATATTAAAGTCTATTTTTGAATCGCATTTCAATTGTTGATTACTGTTTTATCAAATTTGATTAAGATTTCAGTTGTCTTAACTTTATTTCTTTTTTTTATTTTCAATAGTTTTAATCTTTCTCTATATTTTATTTTCAAGTCTTAGATAATTCTTTATGTACATTTTTTTTGTATGATCGACTGAGTTTTAGACTTTAAGATTAATCATGGGGTGTTTTATATTTTGTAAATGTTTATGTGTGTTGTTATTATTATTATTATTACTTTTTGATTGTTTTTAAGTCATTGTTTATGTATATAAGTCCATTGTAAAGCGCCTTTGAACATTTTATTGAGAAGGGCACTATAAAAATGTGGTAGTTATTATTATTATTATTATTATTTATTGAGTCTTTCTGTAAGATGTGCGCACTGTTTCTCTGTCAAAACGTTATTTAAAATACCTAAATATTTCTCATTTAAAGCACAAGAATAGTTTTAGCTTTAAAGCCATACGGTACATTCCGTGGTATTAAATGTGTACATTTATAACTTCAGAAAAGGAAGCACTTAGTAATGATGAAAGTATATGAATCGTAGATATCAGACATCACATTTTTCTTTCGTGTTGGTAACAACTTTACTAAGAACATACTGACAAACGACAAGAAATATATTAAACAATTTAATTAGATGTATAAAATCGATAGAAAACCAGTTATACATTTATTGTTTGAAACAGATCTTACAATCTATTTAGAGCATACGACACAAGCTAGTTCGCGCCCGTCGACATAGGGTGGACAAGGCAGTGATCCACAGTGACCTTCAACCAGATGGAAAACGATGCTCTCGTCACTTTTTGGACACACATGCACTCTAGACGTCGGGCTCTCGTCAATAACAAATCATTTTCATGATCCGTTTATAGTGGGGGTACTGCAGCACGACGAGGTTATTCTAATGAAATATTCTAACTGTCCCATGCCGGTTAGAGTTTTTACGGGCTGGTATCATCAGAGTCGTGGACCTTTCTGAACTGCATACAGCACAAGGCATGTCTTGTTGATTTATTACGTACTTGAAGAAAGGACTGGCTGGAATGTCAGTTTCTGTACCATAAACAGCTCCCCTGTATTCCTGATATCCATCTACATAGTTTAGCCAAGTTGGATCAGAGGGCAAACAAATGTTGTTTGTTCCACTTCCTATCTCTCCGTAATTTTTTCCAGCAGAATATCCTGAAATAAATTTGTAAAACATGTATGTACAAATGAAGACTTTACTGCTGTAAGAGGTGGGCTATGCAAAATTAATAACACAGTACAGAGCTTTTATCAAAATATGGACGATTGGTGTTTGAATGGACGTTTGCCATGACCGATTTTCGTAGATGTTTACAAACTTTTGATGATTCAAGCTTCGGGTGTCCGTGGTCCAGTAGTTAAGGTCGTTGACTTCAAACCTATTGCACCTCACTGCTGTGGGTTCGAGTCTCGTAAAGAACTTTGGATTTTTCATGTTAGGGAGCTATCCAGCTCGCTTACAGAATGTTGGTGGTTCTACAAAGGTCTCTCTCCAGCAGAAAATATGGTAAACAAGATCAACAAGGAAAGGCGGCGTTCAATGAACGCAACCCCCATACGACCCAGCAACAAGAACCAGTGGCAAGGAGCCCAGGCGGACCCAACAAAAGTCTCCTAAAGACCTCTGAGTGTTGGTGAAACGTAAAATTCAACACAAATTAATTTCAAAACATTGCACCTGAATTTGAGTTTTATTTTTCTTTTTAAAATAATTATTATATCAGTTACTTTATAAATGCGTACCATGGTAAACCATTTCCGTGCTGTTTGGACAGCTCGTCTTTCCCCATCGTACGTACACTGACCCTTGGTGTACTGAAATAATAAAACAAAATATTATTTATCCCCTACCCGTTTAATCTTTAGGTTTACCCTCCGTCCATTTGTCTGTCCGTCCGTCTCTTCGACTGTCCGTCAGACAGTCCGTTCGTCCACAAACTGGATCCCGTGAAAACGCAAAAAGTACTGAAAATAATTTTATGAAACTTAAAATATTGGTAGATAGCATCCTAAAGATTTACATGTCTTTTTATTTTCTTTCCATGTTGAAACTTGGTCGTATTGCATCAAATAGACATAAATATGGAAAATATAATACAAAAATCGAATCCCGTGATAACGCAAAAAGTACTTCATATTTTTTATGAAACTTGAAATAGGGATAAATGGTAGTCTAGAGATTATGCAAGCATTTTGTTTTTTCTTCCTTATGTTGAAATGTTTGGTCGGTATGGCAACAAATAGACTCAAAAAGTACTGAAAATATTTCTATGAAACTTGAAACATAGGTAAATGTTGTTGGAATTTCATGAAAAATTCTTGTTTCTGTATGGTTTCTTTATTTCTTAATGTATTTATTCACTATAAGTTTCTTATCATCACCTACATAAAATGTAGCATGGTTCATAATTCTAGCACCTATATTATCATAATTATTATCATTAAATTCAGTAATTTCATGCAAAAATGTTGTTTTTTTTTTCAACTTCTTTATTTCTTACTGTACCTTCTTTAAACTTCAAATATATATGTATCTAATTACACACATCATATGTGGCAATGTTTATTATTTCAGCACCTATATTATCAGATATATATCCTAAATTATAGATATTTGGCTTCCAGAGTTTCTTATTGCTGCATGGATCTACTTCTAATTTCAAATATATGTTCATTATCAACACCTACGCCATATGTGAGTAGATTTAAGTCTAATGTCTGGGTTTTCATGATTATTTTCATTTTTGACCTTGGAATCTATTTGATTTTTTTTTCACTTTTCTTCTTTGTTACTGTAAATGGTATTTAATTTTGACTTAAGACAGTTGTTCTTTGTCATCAAGCACATTATGTAAGAAATGTTAATAAGCCTAGCATCTTTATTGAAAGAGTTATCTCCTCTTTAGTTTAAGAACTTTTAATTTTAAAAATGTTATATTCGATTTATCGATAGGGTTTCTGTGAAAATTGCTTATGTAAAAGCAGAGTGATAGTTTTGCCAATGATGATAAAATCACAAAATCTTGACAAATTTCTCTGAGACAAGTGATCAAGAAGGAAAATAATAACAAAGAAGTGTGCTCATACGAGCATCTTATTATCAGAAATTTAAGAGAGAAAAATAATACGACAAAAGCATAATTTTGGTCTCCCAAATGGCGGCTTAAAGTTACTACGTCATTTTTATTTCCAGCTCAGGTATTATATATTTTAAATATTATGTATTGATTAATGTGTCAAATCGACCCGAAATGATTTTTCACGTTATCTGTATAAAAATTTCCGTTGCTTTTGATTACTGTTAAAACCAACCACCAAGAAAAATGTATTAAAACAGAACTTACAGTTAGTGCTTGAATATGTCGATTTCAATAATTTAATTTCGGCAAGAGCAGCACCAAGTTGTTGATTCAGGCTTGACTGGTTCGATTTCAAAGATTTAATTTCGGCACGAGATGTACCGAATTGTTGATAAATGCTGGACTGTGTCGATGTTAAAGAATTAATTTCAACAAGAGCATTGCCAAGTTGTTGAGTAACGTTGGCTAACTCACTCCGAAGTCGAATCAGCTCTGTAGCCATATCAGCTTCGGAATGGAGAAGCAAACGTTTTTCTTTCCCTGATGCGATTGATTGTGTCACAAGCAATAACAGTATCATATAATTTCCATATTTTTTAAAACCAGCATTTTTTCAAAACCTTCTTTTTCAAAACGTTGTTATCTTCTTTTCCTTAAAGGTTATTCCTCCTGATTAAAATAAAGTAAGTTGTTATCTCGATAAGGTTTAACAAAACGAAAGTGATTAAAGATCTCGTTGAAATGACACGACAAGGCGACGATAACCTTCAGATCCTACAAAATTTGAATATGCTTTTACATGTAGTAAAAGTGGAACATTTTGAAACAAAGATAACATCAAAATAGCACATAATCTTAACATGTATCAATTTTGAAATTTGTAATATAACTGTACGTATCAAATTCTTCCTGTTTATTTGTAAAATCGATGTGATTGTCTGTAAACGCAACTTTTAAAAAGAAATATTAAATAAAATTAATACCTATTATGACAAGTACTGAGGATGATTTCTTATAGTTTTGTATCTAACTTCAATTTCCAAATTACTTCGCAAACGTACAATATGTAAATAAGGACCACACTTTAGTACCGCGCAATACTGGCAAGAGTAGCACACAGAATTTGGATTACTTTTATACTTTTGCTTGCATTTAGTTTCTCTTTTTGTACAAATTAAAAGAATCCATAAACTGTAAGAAAAAATAAATAAAAAGGGAAATAACTACATGTAAAACAATTCATCGCTCCTACATGTGTTGTCATTATTGATAATGGTATCAGACAACGACTTTGTTCATTACGATTATGTTTAAGATACTCAAATACATTTTAAGGTGTTTCAGTTAAAGGTAGAAATAATCTATACAATGTCCGTAGATAGCTAAAATTAATGCTTTCCCAAGGACGCAGTGACTCTGAGGTTATTGACTATAACCTTAAAACTTTTGCCACCAATAATAAGAACTGTCGCAAATCTTTGCTCAGTCGGACAAGATTTCTATAAGTGGTTGTATAGTATAGATATTGAGAATTACCTCTTGACTTTTTATGGTCTGTTCCGATTCAAAGTAGCGTCCCAGGACCGGGAGTTTAATTGTTTGCGAGAAGGCAACATCTTTAATCACCAGAATGTCTACTGAAGATATGCTGGACTTGTTAACTAATAGAAGAGGAAATAAAGCTGTGAAGGCTAGCTTTTCGTTGTCCTAAAACGAAATGTTCCTTTAGCCCACAAGGTAAAAGCGCCCTAACGACTGGAACAAGGTGCGTCGGAATGAAGGAAACCACACGTAAACAAGATACCAGCATTTTTGTGAAATATCACTTGGTTAAAAAAGTACATTATAAGGTCAATTTCTCAACTTAGATTTGTCTCTAGCACTCGGTAAATACAATTTGACTGACAATAATTCACTTTTTTCGATGAATCAAAGTACTGAAGTACAGATCGTGGGCCGTAACTGAAATGTTTGCAATGTCTTATTTTCGCCGTTACGGAACGAAAAGATACGACAAGGTTTAAAAGTGCGAATATACGAAGTTTATGCAATGTACGAAACTTGTATCTGTACATTTTCGTGGCAAAAAAACAACAACAAAACAACAAAAATACGACATGACATAAATCAGTCACCATTCAGTGGCGTCAGTCTGATAAATATTTAATAGTTTCGATTCTTTTCTTGTGGTTTTGACTATTCATTTTACTTGGATAGACGGTGGTCGGTGACACAGTGTTACTTCGGAGTGTCCAAAAAACGACTCGACGGCCTTGGCATTGGTCTGCAATGGTCACAAAAATAAAACAGTAAATAGGTGCCTCTTGAGTCAACATGAATTTAAAGATCATTACCGCAGATACATTAAATAACTTAAGGACTCGGCCCGGTGAATTTTCGTATTATTTGTTCTAAAAGTAAATCAGTCACATTTGAGGTTTAATTCTGGATTCCACTGTTCTTGATGAATTATATACTGTCTTCAACTTTAAACATTAACTAAGTCCAATGAGGCCCAAATATAATAGGTTAGCCATCCCCTTTTTTTTCAGAAATCTTCATTTCTCTGCTGATACACTGTTTAAATTCACGCACTTTAAAAACTCCTGACTGCTGACAGGTAGTAACATCTTTAATCCTTACCGCCAACAAATGAGTTCCTATGGAGAATACACAAAAAACAACTTTTAAAGTCATTATATAACACACAAAAAATTACACACGTGCAATAAATAACACTTTAAATATGACCAATCTAACTAGAGATTACTTAAATTGGGCCACTTCAAATTTTTAAAGAACTACTTTCTAGACTACAACGGGTTGGGTCTAATTCCGTATCGGGTTGAGATCCTAAATGAATACCAAAATTTAAGTTTAAGCCAAAAATTTATACTCATTTCCTAGTAATTTAGTGTTATAAATTCCGAACATGTACATGCTGAACCTTTCCATATAGTTTGCACTTGACAGTACCGTCCATGAACTTGCTAAATGCAAACGTAGCCTGCAACATTTTTAAATTTTGTCGTGTCGGGCTTTCATTAGGGATTCTTATTTTCTCTATGTTATCGCCACATCAAGCGTTGTTTGTGCCGTTGGAGGCTGTAAAAATGTCGCCCCGTAACATTCAATCAGAGATCTTATATTTCCGATCCTTAAAGATCGTTCAGCACACAAATATTGTTGTGCTTGTTGGTAAATTTAGTTCATTCTATTCGGCTATTTTCTTAGTTGGGTGGTTCCAGTATTCCTGAAGTTGAATACTGTTGAATCACGCCTTTGGATATGTGGCATTGCTTTTTAAATTTGTCTTTTGACTGTTCTTTATCTGTGATTGGCAGGCTTCATAAGCTCTGTGATCCCCCTTTCAAAATTCTATTTTTATTTAGTTCCGCCCATTGCTTTCTCGTTTAAGGCACACACATTCTTTTACTTGACCATATGCCGCTTTTCATGGAATTGCACTTACGTGTCACATTGAAGGTTCCATGATAACCGCCATATGAACACATCGTCGGATGTTTCAAAATTCAAAATTGCACCAGTTCATGTCTGCTTAAGCCGGTGCTAGGGGGCGTGGACGTAAGTTTGCACTTGACAGTACCGTCCATGAACAGGCTTAATCAAACCGACCCTACAACATTTTTAATTTTGTCGTGTTGGGCTTTCTTTAGGGATTCTTATTTTCTCTATTTAATATTATCAAACGTTGTTCTTTTGAAAGAACTTTATGCATACATTCTGGACCGAATGCTTTAAAATTCCACTTTAATAACACAGAAATATATAACTTAGTATTAGAAAAACACTGAGAGAAATGGAATACAGCCGGAAAGTATTGTCGGGATAATAATATTTTGAATGATAAACGCCAATGACCAGCTGCTGTATACAGCTTCATGTACTAATGAACGATTTTTTAATCAGATATGTTCTGTCTATTAGATTTCAACGTCCTCTCAGGTACCTAAGTATTTTTTCTCTTGTGTGTCTTTCCTTATTTATATGAAACATTAAGATATTTCTGTGGTAAGATGGCACTGAATGTTCATTTTTTTAAATTTTAATTTACAAAAGCATACATTAACTGTTATGCTGATAATATACAGTTAATCGACGTGTTGGGTAACCTGTAAGCTTCCCATTTACTTAGTTTATAAATTGTTGCATTTCAATTATCAAAAGGAAAAACTCTTAAAAGCAATAAAAACAGATAAAATAGTACATATTCACTCACAATATTTTTTATTGGTATTCCATCTTCAACACTAATAAGATTGGCATAAATGACCCCAAAGGACCAGAAAGAATATGCATTTACTCTTATAGCCGAATTACATTCTAAGTTCCTTTGATATCCATATTACAATCATTCTCGAAAGAAGTCATAAAACATATGATAAAACGTATTATGCTAAAAGATGAAAATATGTGGCACTCAGTCGGACTTTCAAACTCATATTCTCTCTTTGTAAAGCACAGTTCTTTAATTACATAGTGTCATTTAAGAAGAATGATTTTTTATAATTGAGAAAGAACCATATAATATGGGACACTGAGAGGAATGCAGCTTGAACGGTCCATTCATCAGTTGTGTGTGCACTTCTTTTATTCAGATTAGACAATTTCTAAAAAGAATTCCTAGATTTTAGAAATAGAATCTCAATAAAGGTGTTTTAACCAAAGTGAGCATAGTATATTTTTTAAATTTTATAGCATTGGTCCCGAATAATTTAGCCTTAACATGGTCATGCATCGGCGTACATTGAAACAAAAATGAACGAACAAGATTTGTACATTAGATTAGTATAAATATAAAATAAATCCATTGCGCGAGGTGATTATTTATTACCTTTTTCCTTTTGGAATCATATTTATTTTAAGCCGTTTAATACATTGATTGTTATTAGGTATCTGAAATCATGACACTGCGGCGCAATTTGATTTTATTTTTCAGAAAAGTTAAAGGCCCATTAATGCATCAGAAATGCTATGATTTTCATTAAATCGTAAACTTTTTTAGTTTTGTATATTGTTACATGTTCCAAGCCATTCTCATTTGTCCATATACATGAAACTAACTTTTGCGTGGATTTTGTTATGTTGTACATTGGTATAATTATGTAAATTAGTATGTTGTATGGAAGGTCAAAAATACTATTTGTATACATGTTTGTTGACGCTTTATGAACACAAGACTTATTTATATGTTTGTTGTTATTCAGTTTGTGTTAAGGTTATTATGGTTTGCTGTATAATATAATTTGGCACATTTATATCGTATGACAAACATTATTCATCTTTGATAATTTGCTGCTATAATTATAACGAAATGAACAAGAGGTACTCTTTATATGTATTATTGTATATTGTACCACGATATTTTCATAATCGTCTTAGTCTCATTATTATCCGAATTTCTATTGTGGTATGTCATGAAACGTTGAATATAGAAGATAATAATATATGAGCTACATTATTAACCGTGTCAATAGAATTATAACTTAACCCAATAACACCTACAGTTAAATACAGTAATTCTATATATTATAAAGCCTAGCGCTAGGTCACTGGTTACATCTGAACGGTGAGAACAGAGATACGAGTAATATACGCATA